CCATCGTGCCGTTTGCACTAGAAATCTAGCTCATTGTAGTACATACGGGAGGCGATGGGGACCTATATACCGGGGTTGATGGGGACCTGTTGGTTATATGTCAATATCTTTGTCGGCCACAGCTTTCTTCCAATACTTGTCGATCCTCACAATCCGACCATTCACTCTAGGCTCGTCACACTTAGAAAAGAAGCTTCTTGTGAGAGGTTTATTCTTTCTCGGCATCAATGGAGACACTTTCCAATCAGAAGACACCGGCTCACGCATGTCACCTGCCTCACTCCCTTCCCAATCTGACCAGATTTCCAATGGGTCTTCTCCCCAAGCCTCCTCGCCGTTGCGCTTTTTAAAATGCCACATTGCGGGTTCATGGCCACCACCTTCTCTGAACCGTTCCAGGTGGCGAAGGTGCGACATGTGTTCGCGAGCATACATTGGTCGTTCATCATGTTCCCAGGGCACCACGGGCTGACCTGTAGTGATGTCGTCTTCCGTGATAGACTCCAGCTCATCCAAGTCATCTTTTCCTGGTTCGTAGGACCCATCGGTGTCAAGGAACATGTCGTCATCGTATGTTTGGGCCTCCTGGTTCAAGATGCTGTCTGCCCTAGGTTTAGTCCGGTGAATGCGACATCCTCCGCCATGTTCCAGCCCGAAAGTTTCCAAGTCCAAATTTGGAATGTTTCTTACGAATCCTGGCGGCAAGGAGTATCCGGGAATCATGTTCAAGTGAAGGTGCCGCAATGTATCCGCATGCTTCTCGAGGAAAGAGGCCAACCCATTTAAAGAGAAAGGCACCCCGTCCAAATACAGCGATTCCAGTCGGGGCATGAGCGATAGGGAAGCAAAAGGGCACTGGTTTGTCCCGTCGAGAGTCACATATCTCAGACCTTCGAGGCCAGGTACGCGTTCAGAAGGGAAGGGGGGAATCTCTTTCCCGACAATATCGAAGCATAGCCGTAGGCTTGACAAGTTCCGTGAAGCACCGAGAATCTCGCGTAGATGGAGCATGCCGTCCGGATTTTGATTGAGACAACAGAAATGCAGGCGCTTGACAAGATCGAAACCATTCGTGCTCGAGATGTGGTATTTGATAGGAACCATGTGAAGTTCATCGATGAACGGTCCACCTGACCACTGCTGAGAAGAAACTATAGCTTTCTGAAGGAAATTCTGGATCCCAGAGTAGTCGTTGTCGATATATGACGCCTCGTCGCTCTGGAAAAGCTGAGCAACAAATGGATAGCCGTCGACTGAATCCTGGAGCGGTCGGTCAGGATGCATAGGCTCTGAAACAAATGTAGATAAGCCCGGCATGCCGCGCAAAGAAGCGCAGAAAACAGGAAAGAAGTCGGCCGTGACTTTTTTATTCGCCGCTATCAAGCCGCGACTGTACAACCGACAAGGTTGGAACGCAACATCCAACTTCCACCAGAACAGAGATGCCGCTTCGGTAAATATGTTATTGCGCCACGCGTTTTCCTTTCGGGATAGGTCCGGCCACGTGAGCTTTTTCTGTTCGTATTTGCCTTTGCGCCAGTTCTTGAGGCGACATTTAGGAGGCTCCGGACCGTCCGAGAAGTGCGGGTGCCTCCCTGGACCGTTGAAGAGGCGCAAATTGGACTCGTTGCCGGACAGCTCGTACCATGCGACTGTGCGAACAGCTTTGGCAAGGTGCGGCGTTGCGGCAATATTCAGGAAGGACTTTCGATCTCTCCATGTTCGGGAGATGCCAATACGTTCAAATAATCGATCCGTTACCAGAAACGCAAAAAGTCGACACGTTTGCCGGAGCGCCTTGAAATCAGGTTGAGCGAGGCTTTCGTCTGCGAGAATGGCCTCAAAGATCTCTACTGGGAAGATCGGCGACCTGTCGCTGCTATGACAAGCATGCGAGGGTAGTGCGATATATGCACCAGACAGTGTATTCGTCGAGTCAATCTCCATCGTTCGATCGTTGTTCTGTCGCGTCTTGTGAGACGATAGGGCTTTGTAGTTCGTCGCTTGGAGTTAGTGGCTTCATTCAATGTTTCGATGCATATTTTAGACTTCGAGGTTTGCGTCACCAACAGCTGTTGAATGTCTTGGCCGCTGCCTAATTGTGACCTTTAACTGGTTGTATCCACTGTCATGCAGATTGAGGCCAAACATCCTGGGCCATGCAGAGTCGCCTGGCTCGCCAAGATCACCCCGATCGTGCGGCCTGAGAGGGTGGTAAACCGGCAGCCCGCACCTGTAGGCGAAAGCGAGTCGAAGTGCAATAAGGCGGCCAGTTGTCGAATGTTATGAGATGAACCGAGCGTCATCGTGGAGGAATCGAAGTCGGCCGAGTGTTTTTGCTAATGGCAACTGCAAAGACAATAAGTTTATTACTGCAACAAAGTAAAACTCTTTCTCTTGAGGGACGTTCTGTATGTTTACGGCCAAGGAAGTTCAGAGGCCTTCTACATGCCACATACCTCATTGCTTATACTGATGTAAGTTCATAATGAATGCTCTATGCTTGTTAGTATGTTTTAATAAGCAGCTGCGGAGTTATGGTTGTGAAGCTCTTAATGCTGGTTGTTCCACTCTTTGGCAATCCCGAACAACCGAAGCCCCCGCATCTCGCCGAATCACTTCTCGACACTCTCACTCTTTCGTATTTTTCGTATGATTCTCCATATTATACCTAAGTCTTGCCTCAACTTTGAAGTAGAGCTCTCGCTGCTCCGCAACACTGCGCTGAAAGCAAAAAGAAGAACGAAACAATAGTGCCGGGCGATGATGACGCCGACGACAGCGCCAAAGGATGGCAATATGCGTCGATGGGTGAAGATGAAGAAGGGACCAACTATGTAGAGCTTGACGACAAGGTAAGCTTCCAAGCCAGTCACGTTGGTTTCTCAGTAAACCCATAACGGGTAAGCAAAGTTTTACAGCTTAAAATATATGATCCACATTCTAGGTAAGATACCAGAGATAAAGCATCAGCCAGGCCGTAAATGTCCAAACTCTGCAGAATCTCTTCCACGAATTTTGCTTACTTCACACCCCTAACATCTTTTCCAAGACCATGATTCGCCGCCTATCAATCTTTTACGATGCCTCACATTATTTCCCAAAAGATACGACGCCAAATATTTCGATCTTCAAAGTCTCCTGCACCCAAGCAGGCCCAACCCCACAATCCACCCGCTAGGACAATAGAACCAGTCCCTGAAGGCTACACAGCGCCAACAGTTCGGGCACCGAAAGGGCGTTTGCAAAATGTCTTACGACGCGCTCGCAAAGTTCACCCAAAGCCTAACCTCGTCAGAAACCCCAGAGTAGTCAACGGTTACTTCATCTCTGGGTACGCCACGATTGAAATCATTCCGGCCGAGCTCGTTTTGTTGGTAGCCAAAGATCTGACTCTTAAGGATCGTGCGATGTTGGCTCTGACGAGTAGAATGATGCTCTTCAAAGTTGGGCGGCAATGCATCATCGATTTCAATTCGAGCATGAATACAGAAGAAAGACTCCATTTTCTACGTCAATTAGAGCGGGAAGTGCCCAGCATGAGAAACGTTCTTTGCTATCGGTGCAAGGTCTTTCATCCACCAGAATCCTCAGAGCCACCTAAGTATTTGGAAGAGAGTGGTCGGCGTGCCCGAGCCTGCTGGGACATACCAAAATACCCCTTAATGGCTTTCCACAGGAAATACTCATCTCCTCTTTTACCGCCCAAAATACACTTGAACATGATAAGGGCTGTTATGAGATCGTATCGCAATCGCATGAATGCATATGGTCTGGCAGATTTATCTTCCAGGACTCTTTTCACACGCGACTACCACGAGCCCAAAGCTTTGCTAGTTGCAAATTGCATCGTAGCCGAGGGAAACCTGTTACTTCGAACTGTTGTCACATTGCTACCATCGAAAGAGAAGGAAAAGGTCCGACATGCAGTACGATACCTTTTTGGTATACTGAACCTCGCCTTCGTCAGGTCTGTCCCCACCTCAAGTGGCGCGAGATATTTCCGCATATCTTCATGGGAACACCACCTGATCCACCATCAAACGGCCTCGCAATGCGGGACCCCATGGATCACAAGTATGACGACGTCTGGAAAACTGAAAGTATGACCAGAGCCAAGCGAGGGCGTTCTGTCATCTGCGGTTATTGCTCCACGGTTTTCAACTACAGTTGGAGGGACTTGGCAAAGAATGGCTCTAGGATTGTCTCACTCGTTTCTTACAAGGTTTTAAGGGAAACAACACGCGATTACGAATTCGACAGGCAGTGGAATTGGCACATGAATGATCCTCTTGACTACAGCGTCTTGAACAGCCGTGTCTCGAGCTTTGGGATGTATGCCCCAGCCACATGGATTCGTGCGACAAAAGATATTCCAGAGTTTGATACACGAAGGTGTACGCTCGAACCAAGATGTTTCGAAGAATTGGATACGTTGTAGCGGCTGAATAGAGATCGAGCGTCCAAAGTCTTCAGCCCGTGGAACAATGGCGATTCCGCCTTCCCGTCCGAACTTGGCACTGGGGGAAGACGGCTACCTGGAATGCGCAAAGCCCCGTCATATAATGCGACTGGGTACACCCCTTTCACCGATTGCCAATTGTTCCTTGTGGTTCACAAGATGAGACTGAACAGTCAATCAATCCCAAGGATGGCGAGATTGAAACTTGCACCAATCACACAAGACCCGCATGAACCGTGCGGCAACGCCCTGTGTCATTCTTATCTCCGGACTTGACTTTCACCGCAGGCGGGGGACCTTTTTCGAAACCTAGACCAACAAACTTGCCGAGAAATCCGAAAATTAATTATGAATTGAATTGGAAATAATTGATGAGAGCGTGGTGTATGATAACGTTGGATCTTTGAGTCGATAAGGTATAAAGCGTGACGACGAAGTCATCGATCGTCAAGAAGACAAAGCGATTTGGAAGACAGGACATCATTAATCAACTCAACTATCACTACTCACACAACTTTCAATATAAATTGACGAGGAAATGAGTTCAATCAAGAACGTAGCAGTTGTTGGGGTCAGTTGCTGTCCAAATTTTCATTGCCGGTGCTCGCGAGTTTACGCTTCGATTAACATACTGTCATGTAGGCCAACGGGAGCATCGGAAGCCATGCCGTCCCCGCCCTTCTGGCTGCCGATTTTGTCGTGACTATTGTCACGCGATCTAGCGAGGGAAAGCGTTTCCCACCGCAGGTGAAAATTGCCGTCACCGACTTCAGTCGGCAGTCGCTGCAGCAAGCGTTATCAGGACAGGACGCCGTGCTCTGCGCTCTCGGCCACGCTGTCTTGGATAGACAGGTCGATGTGATACATGTCGCTGAGAAGGCTGGCGTGAAGAGGTTCATCCCTAGCGACTTTGGTGTTCCGAAAGGCCCTAATGATGTTCCCGACTACCGCGCCATTCTGGGGAAGAAGGCGCAGGCTTCGAAACTTTTTTTGAAGGAGAAGGCAGAGAAGAATGGCAACTTCACCTGGACATCGTTCTTCAATGGTCCTTTGCTTGATAGGGTGAGCACCGTGTTATCCTTATCGTCTTGGTCGTTCCTATCTTCTCTGTTGCTTCTGTCGTGTCTCGTCGTCTCTGCTGTTCCTGTTGTCCCCATCCAACCAAACAGCAAACTTCGAGTTGATCTTGTTGCTAACCTGTTGCTAAGTCACTGGCGATGTTCCCAGACTTTGATTTTGACCTAAAGCAACATCCGGCAACCATCTACGACTCCGGCAATGAACCTTTCACTGCGATGAGCATCGCCAAAATCGGAAAGCCCATCGCAGCTGTCTTCAAGCATCCCGAGGAGACCAAGAACCGACACGTTAGCATCGCTGCTCTGACTACTTCCCAGAGGAAGATCCTTGTCGAGCTGGAGAAGCAGACAAACACGAAATGGAAGACCACGACGGTCAGCACGGACGAGGCCAGGCGAGAGGGGCGGATCAAGCTGCAGGATGGCGACTAGTATGTCGCGTATGTCGCGTTCCTTGTCGCCCAGCTTTACCAGGATGGAGCCGGGAGGTCTGTCCTGGACGGAGCGGATAATGATCTGCTGGGGGTCGAGCAGGAGAGTTTAAAGGACATCGTCAAGGGTGCGCTTACATGGGCCTGATCAGGGAACCTGTCTGAAGCAAGGCGATATCAAGGCAGTAACTCGAACATCCGGGTGGAATCATGTCTTTCAATTGAGGGGTTCGTGAACTCAAGCCTTGTCATCTCCACAATGCTAGATCGTCAGAAGCCTAAGCAAATACTGGTTCCGGGGTTTGTCGGTAGTTGGGCGCCGACTGTTGGGCTGGCGATCATCAGCCTCCGTTGCCTGGTCGAACCTAACTCTATTTCGTCAATATTTACTTGGGTTGGAGTGACGCGACCGCTGGTGGAGCTTGGCTAGTCGGGCTTTATCCAGGGCCGACCCAAAGCTTAATCAAATCAACAGGTAAATAGCTGCCCAAGGAGACGCCCCAGGTAAAAGATCGCCGTGTTCGTGAAATCATGTTGACACGTAGGGCCTCTAGCCTGCGAATATTCGTGTCAGCTTCAGTCGTTAGCGGTCGCGGTTCTCTCAACCTGACGACGCCGTCAGCGGCTTGGCGACTTTAGTTCCCGGAGTGCGCTCCGCCCGGCACCTGCGGCTTCGACTTTGTGGGGAAAGCTGTCAAAGGACGAGAGTCGTTGCGTCGAGTCGTTGCATCGGAGACGGTTTGTCCAACAGCGTGTGGCTATGGCCCGATTGCTGAGGGGCTTCTTCTTCATGAGTAATGTTTGCGTAAGATGGCTCATTGCGGGCGTGCATGTTCAGCTACGGCGCCAACAAAACCCTCTCTCTCGTCGTTGACCTTGGCGTTGATAATGATGTGTGGCTTTGCGGGGTCATCAGCGTGCAAGCCAAGCGGCGGCCAAGAACAGGAAAATTGTGGCTGTGAGCATGTGAAGTTGTCCTGGCTGGGACCAAGTGACGCGATAACAACAAATCAAAAACGCCAGTGAGTCGCCCAACGGGATGCGTTGAGATGACATGACGCATTCGGTGGTGCACTGCCAAACTGCCAACCCCAATATTCCGGATTCTAGAGCGCCATCGACCCCTTTTGGCTGTGCTGCTCGGTGCTGTCAAGGCGCTTATCGGGCAAACCAGACGTCGACACAAGCTTTATCGAAGGATCGGGTTTCGTCAGACCGTAATAATCAGCCCGTGTTTTTTTTTTTTTTTTTTTTTTTTTGGCCCTTCGTCTTAGCAGCCTCGTCCGGTCGTCATCTTGTCTAGCTGGGTTGGCTGGTGGCATGGCCCGAAGTGTCCGGGTGATGATGTGGCCATGGCGCCATGGACCGCGCCACGACGATCCCATCTTACTTTTTTTCTTACTTGGACGGGTGGTACGGTAGCGTAAAAGTATCGTCAACGACCGGTGCTGCCGGTTGCCGAAGCCCTCAGCGGTGTACTCCATACTCCCCGTCCGCGTCGAAAGACAGTTGAGGTTTGTAACAGGATGCCCAGGAGTCGGCCTATTGCCCACTTCACCGAGTTTCGGCACGCCCCTCCTCCGGTGCGGCACCGGGCTCCTCTCTCCCACTCTCTTCTCGTTTCCCTGGTGCAGCAAGCATGCTTCGTACATAGGTACGGATACCTGTGAAACGTAAAACGCCCCTCCCTCCACCTGCGTGTTGGCGGACCCTCTTTTGCGGGAATAGACGGGAACGTGAGATGATGAGGCCCGCCGCCAGTAAATTGAGGCCATTGGGAAAATCATTTTTTACGGCCCCCCCACGGACACGCGCTTGCAATTGCAGGTTGAGTGAACATTCGCCCGTTGTAGTGCGTGAGGTTCTATCTTGCGTGCTTCGCAAGACTCATCTGACATGTCTCTGCACACCCAATCCTCCCGCGCCCTTCCCGCATCGTCACCGTCATTTGATCCAACCCGCAAGTGCCGGCGCTGGGCGCATGTCTCGGTGTCTAAGACACTCTCAACCCTTTCCAGGGCCCTCACCGCAGGTCAGGAAGGGGCTCGCCAACCTGCCCTGGCGAATAGCACGATTCGGGCCCCTGGATAAGCCTTATCGCTTCATGGGCGCATGGCATCGCATCATGGGGGCGGCGGGCGGTCAATCAGTGCGTGCAATGTCTTAGTTGTCGCCAGGGAGAAAAGAAAGAGAGCCACATTGTTTACAACCATGCGCCACAGCAGAACACGAACCACCACCACCACAGCCAGAAAGCCAAGGTGTAGATCCGAGTGTTGTATCTGGGAGTCAACGTCCTCCTCCGGCAGAGCAACCCCCTTTCCTCGCCCGGCAGATGTCATCTGCGGCCTGGGCGGATGTGATGATGCGCTCCCCTCTTCAATCGCATGACCGCCGCAGCCACCCTGTCCACGTCGCGGCGGGCTGTTTTCATCCACTCAGGGACGCAGAGCTGACACCGCCCATCACATCATAGCAGGACGACTATGGGAACTAGGGCAGGGCGCGCGGGTGGGAGGTTTGGATGCCGGCCGGTGCGGGCGGGTTCAGGTTCAACTTGGGATTGGGATCTAAATGTTGTGTTGTTGGCCCTGCATTGCACGCTGATGTGTACTAAGCTAAGCTAAGCTGATGAGTACCATGTACGGATACGGATACCCTCTAAGCTGTAACCTTAGTCCAACTTGTCCAAGTGGCTTGCTTGATACGTACCCATCTGCCGCCTCACCAAAGCCTCCCGGCAACAACAAATTCAGCAGCATCAACAAGAAAATTTCACTTATTTTATTTCTCGCCAGGGGACCATGATGGAAACAAGGAGCAAAACGTCAAGCCACGAAAACTTCCCGCGTGCGAAGCTCCAGTTCTTTCTTGCCTCTGGCCCTCAGACATTGCGTGGTTCGGCCCTTTTTGCGTCCCATCATTCGCGTGTTCGTCCCAGGTTTCTAGAAAGCAAGGAGGCAACGCGCCAAAAGCAAAGCTGTGAAAAAGAGGTACCGATGAAAAAAATTGCTTGCCAGGGCCCAGTTTAATGCCTTGTCCCGGGCAGCGTCCGGGCCAGACGGAGCTCTCAGCGCACCCTCCCGGCCCCATCCTCATTACTCATTCTAGCCCGAATTACCTCAGAAGAAAAGACTCTGCGGCCTGAAAGGAGGCCCCCTTCAGGAGTCGTCAAGTCGCTCTTTGCAAAATGATGCGGCTAACGCTTGCGCGCTTGTTACGTTGTTACTGGCTGCAATGACTCTCGTCCAAGGGTGTGTGCCTCAACCATTACCTAGTATTCGTACATCAAGCAACATACGTACCGCCAGCCCACACCACACTAGCCACGCTTTTTTGATGACACCCACCCCTACCTTTACCTTGGTCCCTACCTGGACCTTTGCGGCCACCCAAATTGCCCACCCATCTGATGGAATGGCCTGAACAAAAGTCTCAGTGACCGCATGAGTAGGGATCGGTCTGGTTCCGTTGGGCGCCGCCGCGGGTCTGATCGCCATCGCTTCTCAGATTTTTAGGGCGCCTCGTCTCGAACGATCTGAGCTTTAGATTGGTGATCACTGCATAGGGCTTCCGGCACCCGCGGCTTATATAGTGGGCTTGAATCCCTCCTCCCCTTTCGTCGCCGTTCCTGTTGACCTCGTTGCTCGGTACTGCTTTCGACTTTGATATAAACATCGGGCTGCTCCTCACCATCTTGAGCACCTACCCATCGTTTCCCAACACAGACTCATACACTAGCACCAAGAAGCTATACACCCACGCTCATCACCACCTGCTTACATCCACACATACACATACAAGATGTTCGGTCGTCAACAACGAAACTTCCCCAAGCGAAGCGGCTCCGGCTACTCCTCCTGGCCCGAGAGCGACAGCGAGGACGACATGATCAGGCCCTGCGCCACCAACTCAGAGAAGCCCGAGGCCCACGTCACCATGACCGAATACGCCCCGGCCACCACCCCGGCCGCTGTGGAGAACGCCGCGAACCCGAGACCCTCCCTCACCGGCCGCCGCTCCTCCGCCGACGGCGCCGACCTCGAGGAGATGTGGGAGTGCATGCTGGAGCTGCAGCAGAAGTACCACTGCTACAACTCAACTCGCATGGAGATTGCCGCCGACAGCGAGGATGCCATGGAGATGATGCGTAAGTCCAATGTCAGGTCCGAGACACACATAGGTCAAGGTTGACTAACATGAGATTAGCTACCCGCGCCTGCATGGACATGCTCAACGACTCCATCGAGTCCCTTCCCGAGGATGGCTGGAAGAAGCTTAGCAAGTACCTCGTCCCGGAGTGTGACGCGTGTCAGAAGCCGCAGAAGTGGAAGTTCTGGAAGCACGCCTAGATGTTAGGTGCTCTTTTCGGACAGCGATCTTTTCTCCCTTCAGCGATGCGCGGAGCATAATGGCTCTGGTTAGAATGATACCCCATTTCACACATACAAAAAGTTTGGTTTTACATTTTCACACGGCAATTACTTGGGCGGATGGTGTGGCCTACATGGACGGAGGGCGGATCGGCGGGACGCTCATGGCTTGGAATCCCTTTGGTTTGCATTGAGGGCTTGCCCACATCATCACACAATACCCCATATTTCAATCGGCTAGATCAATCAATCACACAGTCGCGATCTCTTGCAGAGCCTCTCTACCGTTCCCTTCGGATTACCTATTTGAGGCAAACTATGAGCTGATGATCACCGCTTCGTGCTTCTCGTGGGACGACGGGGTGCGGGGTTGTGTTCGACGAGCCGGCCGTGTTACTCGGCCAGAAGGGGTCCGATGCAACCTCCGATCACGGAATAGACAGTTGCGATCGCCATTGCCTGCGCCCGCCCGATGTGACCGGAAACTTCAATAGTGTGCCGAAAAGCACATCAAGTCACAGCTACAAGTCGCCCCGGGCGTGAGATCGTCGTTGCGCCGTGAGTCACCGGCAGTGCACGATGGCTGCATTGGAAAACGACTGCCGGAGGTTTCTTTCCTGTTGTGGAT